CTATCACCTGTGTCGTCATCCGAAGAACTGCCTAAGCTGATACTGATATCAGGAATCGTCAAGGAGATGTGTCACACGGCAATTCAGAGATTCGTGACAACACCGTGATTGCGGACGAAGCACTGGTCTGCTTCTTTTTCTTTTTCTTGTCCTTCTTAGACTGCTTCTTCTCTTTCTTGTCCTTGCCCTTGTCTTTCTCAGGTTCACCAGCACCTTTGCTAGGAGAAGTTTGGGAACGAAACAAGATCGCTGATTCAATTCGTTCCCAACTGCTGAACAAGAGATGAAGCAAGGAAAAACCTGTAGCACTGACATCACTTGAAACCGTTCCTGACATGGCACTCAAGTAGCTATGCATTGAAACAGAACCCAGGGCCCAGAGATAGCTCCCAAACCCAGCAATGACTTCAGTTGGAGAAATGTTTTCTCTACGAATGCTGAACAAAAAACTTAGCTCTCGGAGAACCAACGGACCGGTGCCTTTGGATTTAGGTTGACTGAAATACGGACTAGAGTTCTTTCAATTACTTGCGAAAAAGCGCACGAACAGCCCAAGACTTGCAAAGTTTACCTGTGCAAGAGAATCTGGCAAGGGACCCTCGAATGCACTTTGCAGACTCTTCCTGGCCGTGGACATCAGAAAGTTCCGAGCGGGGTCTTCGTCCTCGGCGGTTGGCACTGAACCCAGTGACTTTGCCGAGGCAGTCCTGCGTAGTCGAGCTGGGTTGCTCAAGGGATGCAGTCTCATGGGCCCTCTATGCCAAATTCAGGGAAAGATGACTCCTCGGTCCTCTTGATCTTGTGGCCCAACTGAACCATGGCTGCACTGAACTAGAAAACAAAGCTTAGATCGCAGTAGATCCGCCCCAAGCCCACCGTCAGGAGGAGCAGCACGGTTTGGCTTCTGTGTCCGGGACCCAAAGTCGACTATCAAAACCGCTCAGAGCACCGCAGACACTCGAAACAGTGCAAGCACGGCGAGATCTGTAATGCTGACATTCCTGACACCGCACCGAGACACACACACACACACACTTACTTATGTCTTTTCGTAGCAGAGAATGGCCACTGTGTCCAATCATAACATATTGCCAGAGTCCTTAGATCAACAGACATGACATCTTAGGATCCCACGATTGCATGCTTGATTGTTTCGAAACCGACCTGAATCTCACCGAGACCGAGCTTCCCCCTGGCTGTCGTGGCCAGCTGATCCCGGCGTGCACCTGGTGCACAGGTTATCCTACAGACTAGAACCATACAACCCTAAACCCATATCACAAGCCAAAGCGCACCGATCGCGGAATCCACGGAGAACAGAGGAAGGAGAGAAAAAGAGAGGCATGCCATATACACACACGAGTGAACCCGGCTTGCTAATTCGAAAGGCCTGAGGGTTGGACCTTTGAAGCTCTGAAGTTTAAATCTTAGTATTAGGATAGTACAAGGTCTGAGACTATAAGCAGCCTTGTCTTTAAGGTTCCGAATGGCTGGCCAGGGTTCGATGGGTTGAACTTGCATATTTCTGGAGGTGAATAGATTCTATATTTCGCTGTATCTTATGCCATGGGATGTACGGATGTACTCAATATCCCCTAGCAACCCCTACCCCACCGCCCCCCTACCCCCACCCCTAATAATCTTGACGATTGCAAGACTGATCTGTGATGTGCTACGAAACTGCTCATCCAAGCAACACCGAGCTTCCATGGTGGCCATGCCAGTCTGCATAATGGACATCCGATCCAAGCGCATAGAACCTAAGCCACCCAACCTATTCATCACAATACCCTCACTAGTACATCGCAAAGAGTACCCGAGCTGCGGGTGAAGACAGGCATGAACTATCCATGCAAGTAGCCCCCGAGACTATTAAACATCAGGACCCTCAGATCTTCTAAATATCACAGGAGCCCCAGCGTGCTCCAGCAGCTTCCTACATTACCGGGGATCTTGGGTCGTGGGTGCGCAATACACACTTCCGGGACAAGACTTAGAAGAGTACAATATCTTTGTAGGCTAAAGGCCTGGGGGTTGAAGTGTTTCAGGTTTGGTGTTCAGTATATCAGGGTTTGGGGTAGTAGAAGGCTTCAGGGATTTGAGGTTTGGGACTTCGGCTTAAAGGTTCGGGATAGCAAGGGTTGAGTGAGTTTAAGTTGCACACTTCTCGAGGTGTGCAAATGACAGCCTTGGAGAACAAGGGGCCGCGATGCGCAATTGGCATGACCTAAATACATTACCCAATTCTCTAAGTAATTTCAACTCTTTGGGCTGGGTCGTTGATTAGGCACGGCCAGAAGGATGTTTCTCAAAGAGCTACCCTATCAATCCGAGCCTCCGCAAAAGAATGTTTGCAACATCAGAATTTAATTGCTCACTATAAACCTGTGAATTATGTAACTTTAGACCCGAACTTAGCCTAATTCCGAGCCCTAAACCCCGAAATGCATCATATATTGCATGGAAGCCGGGCATCAACAATCGATCTTATCCCCATGCTACTACAGTGGAAGCCAAAAAGTTGGAACATGCGCACCCTGACATTCAGCACTCGATGAGCGAGTGCATGCAACTTCCAATTTTGGCATTATGTTTCAAGTTTGGAACATTCTGACTGGACCGGCCGGAAAACCAAGTGTGGATGTCATCAAGGTTGGGCCTTATGCTTGGCGGTGGGGGGGCACCGTGTGGAGGGGAAACAACCTAACATAATACTAACCTAAACCCTAAGCCCAGCTTCCCCTGGTTGGGGGACCCCAAAAAAATATAAACTAAATGCTGGGCCCTAAACCCTATGTGCCCGCTTTCCCCTAAAACTTGGGGGGCTAGGCACCCTAAACCCTATGCCCGGTTTCCCCAAAAATATAGGGACCTAGGCAGATGTGTCCTAAACCACCCTGAAAAAACCCTGAAACGAAACCACCCCCACACACAAACCGCAACCCTAGGAACCGGGGGGGCGGGGGGCGGGTTGGGAGGGAGGGTTTGAGCCAACACAAACACGCCTATATACAGAAGCATGGGGAGGCGTCAGTGCTCGAGTGTTCGATACCGGTCCTTCGACGATCCCTGGGGTCATACCACTGACTAGCGATATGGTCGTGGGGTCTGAGTAATTACTGTCTCTCTGCAAAATTGCATACTGGAGATTTTCTCTCTCTCTGCAAGACTGGAACGGCCGTGGTGATTGCAGTTCCCCGCTCTTTGCAATAACGGAGCGGTCGTAATGATTGCAGTTTCTTTCTGGTTGCAATACTGGAACCATCGTAGCAGTTGTACGTAGTTTCTCTTTTTCTGCAATAATGGAGCGGTCGTAGTAATTGCAGTTCCTGTCTCTCTGCAATACTGGACATGCTTCCCAGAAATCGAAAGTTGAAAGACAAAGGGCCGACGGAAATCGATTTATGATGCTTTATGCAACTGCGGTCGTTTTTATATATACGTCTAGGAAAGGAAGCAAAAAGCAAAACAAAGCCCTTTTCGAGGGGCTTCAGGGCTGAAGCCTGAACCCTAATTGCAAATAAAGGGGGCGACTCCAGGCTTCGGACATCTTAAGTTTCTATATATATATATATATATGTACACATATCTCATACTTCCCCCCTCCTTGGCTGGGTGCCTCGATGCGACTGCAAGGTTCCAAGTCTAGCTTGGGGTTCGGACAACAGGTTCCACCTTTCCCTTGGCGGGTTTCGGACCATGTTCCAACTTCAGCCTCCAAGATCAAACTTGGAACCTGTGGCTTGGGGCCAATCTGCTCCTGTGGACACGTTCCAACTTTGCGGCTTCCACCAGAACAATGAAATTCCTACTTCTGCTTCGCCTTCTTCATCACCAACACCTAAACTCTAAACCCTGTTCTCCCGATACATACCCCCACACCTGGTTATCAGTCGATGTGCATCTTCAGGATTTAGAGGTTAGGTAGGGCTCGGCTGGGCTATGTTCAATCAAGGTTCGAGGATTATGTAGGGGCCCAATGCAGCCGAGAATCGCCAATGAGTCGTCGCCCAACCGCCACACGAGCCATTCCCACGCTCTGGGACGTCTTGAATTACACACTTTCTAAATGTAAACCCCAATCTTCAGCAAATTCTGAACTTCCGATCATCCGTCTATGTCTTACACTTCAGGTTCAATCAATGAGTTTTCTATTCCCAATAAAGGATTGTTTGGACCGAGTGCATACTGCGGAATCATCGTGTCTGCCTCTGGGGCCTGTACTATATCTGCATATATGATTGGTCTCATGAGTACTTGATCACATCGAGCGGGAACGGTAACCCATTAGAAGCACGATGCCTGAGCGGGAATGGCTTGCGTAACCCTGGATAATATTTAGGGTACCCAAAATGGGACCCTAATTTTGACAACCACCCAGTTGTCTCACCAGGAACATTCCCAGAACATTCCGAAAACCTTGAAGAAGTCCCTTGCCTAAAGACCCACAGAGCTCCGAAGCGCCAGTTGTTGCGGAAGATGCACCTCTTCCAGTGCTGGTCCGTCCAAGAGCCGGGCTTCTCAGTTGGGACGGGCAAGACGGATGTGGGGTCAAAGGGTTTGGGGGTTCAGGGTATTCGGCTTTAGATGAGGGGCAGGGTTTGGAGTTTGGGACTTTCATGGTTTAGTGTTCAGGGCTTTCGGGCTTAGAGGTTTGGCGTCTGAATGTGTTCATCGGATTTAGGGCTTCAGGGTGTCGGCTGTGTTGGCGCCCATGTGGTCCAGGATGAAAGCCGAGGTTGACCATCGACCGAATAGGCGGAATCAGCGGTCGCTATACAATGCACAGGAACACTGCAATTAGCGAGGATTCTCTGCCTGACATTTGTTTTAACATAAGTGTCAGACAAAACATCGTTGCAATGGCTATGGCGTGCTTCCTTCTTTGAGACTCTTGTTGTTTAGATTGTGTAGTACAGCCGTACGTCATCTAACGCATACTGGTCACTGCATCCGTGTCGTGCATGTCGACTTGTTTTTGCAGATGGCCACGTATGGTTTGGCATTCAGGGAGATGCACCTTGTTTGCCAAGTGACACAGCTGCAAAGCTCCAAAGCAACTGAACCAGAACCAACGCAACTAAAGCAGAGCTTCATTAACAGGCTCAACAACAGCGCGTAGCTTTAAGTGCGAGCATCGAGCAAGAGCTTGGAGCCAACTGCCTGACACCCGACAGAGCCACCAGAGGCATAGGATGCACAAGCCCAAAGCAGAGACCTTGTGATATTGCGGACTGAAGGGGTCCTTGATCTTGGAAAATCGCAGTAGTTTAGGAATGAGGGTACTGTTCTTAGTGCACAAAAAGGCTGCCATCCTCAATTCCTCCAGGTAAGCCATGTAGCCCTCGAGCCCATGACCTTGCTCCCAACGCGCCTTGCCATAGGCGCCAAACGAAATCGCCGGTCCTGCTGAGGTCCATCCGCAGATTCTGGCCCTTTCTGAGCCTCCAAGAGGGCGCCCTTGGAATGGAAGGGTGCGCCGCTTGCTCTGGTGGGCTCCTGAACGATTTGAGGCCTATCGAATTTGAAAGGGGTGGGAACATCTGCAATGTCTGAATTTGGCTAATCATTCATCTACAACTCCTTGGAGGTCGACTAGCTTGGGGCAGGAGAAAGCTCCGAGGCAGCAACATGGTTTCCTGCCCAAGGGGTTCCTGTTACTTAAACACTGGGTGAACCCCTCGACTCTGTTCTTAGAGTACTACAGAGTGCCCGAATCTCTGAGAGGAAGAGTGTGCACTCTTGTTAGTTGGACGGAAGCTGTGGCAGGTATGTGGAGCTCAATCTTGCTCTGCAGAAAGCGCTAGCGGAGGCTCGTTAGAATGAATCCGTGCGGTTTGGCTTTCTAGAATTGTACGGCCCGGTATTAACAATTCGGGGTCCGTGTCGGAGTTTCGTAGTTTCTGAGCAGATCTTGCAATTAGGGCCTGGGGCCGCCACAGACAGAGCCGTCGTCAGTACTGGCAGGAATCTCATCATCACGATGTTTCATGGTCATCAATTCCAGCAATATTGGATGGAAGATGTTTAAACCCTACTATGCTACTGACAAGAATAACCGGACCACAACAGTCGCAACAACTGCAGCAAGGCTAACCGTGATGCAATTGTCCGAACCCCTCGAGTGTAAGTTCCAAGCCCAAAATCCCAAACCTGGAACCCCCAACTCGCAATGCCACAAAGCGTACACCCTGAACCCCAAACCCCAACAACCCAAAATTCCAAAAGCTCCTGAGTCACAAGCACAAGAGGACTTCCAGCTCGAAAGAGCGGTGGATTCGGCAACTTGGCTTGACTTCCGTGGCGGTTCCTCTTGTTTTTGCTCTCAGGCTTCATCGCAGCTATCCAGGCTTGAGCTCGAGTCTTTGTGTGGATCGTGCACACGGGGTCTTATCCTGAAACTGAGCATGCACGCCATTGTACCTCCAGGAGCTGTCGGGGTGAGAGCAAAAAGCTTGCGAAGTGCGAAGTCTCGCTACTGTGTCAGGGAACTTCTTTACTTTGGATCTGCCGCCACTGCCATGGCCGCAGCATCGGCAGGGGAGGAGACGAGCTACGACTTGTCTGAGCCGGAGAGTTTCATCAGCTTTCTTGAAGATGCCGGCATCCGCCTGGTGCGCCTCGAGTACCTCATCGAGCTCCTTGACTCGGGGAGGCCTTTGCCACGCCGGCAAGAGGCGGAACAGGGGAGGACGAGCTTGGGACTGCCGGCACTCGTTGAGAGCAGTGAGCTGAAAGCAATAGAGATTGATCCGAATACTTTCCACATGTCCGTGATGATCCGGCATCCTGAGCCGAGACGGGTCAAAGTCCACCTCGTCTCTATCAGCCACATGTGGGAGAGCATGGAGCATCCGGATCCCTGGAGGTTGGGACTTTAGGGCGGGGTGGGAGGGTTTCGGGCGGGGGATCCTGCATGTGGCGTTCAGTTGAGTTGCGGGAGTAGATCCCCCCCCCCCCCCCTGCCCCTCCCTGCTGGTTATGTTTCTTGCGAGGTTCCAGCTGGATGCCATCGTGGAGGAGTTCCGTCCCCGACTCCTGGATTCTGTCGTTTGGATCTTCTATGACTTCGTTTCCTTGCACCAGTACAGCAGAAGCGAGGATCAGGAGCGGCTCTTCCGTCGGGCGCTCCGCGACATTTTTGTCTTGTACTCGCACGACGCCGTGGACGTCCATCGGATCGAGATGCTGACTCCGGAGGGCGTGCGAGAAAGGTGCGTGGCAGCCCACGGATCCAAGATCTTCGTTTACTGGAAGGAAGATCAGAAGATGATGCAGGTGCTTATTTCTAAGCTCAAGTGGAACGAGACGCCGTACGAGCAACGAGGCTGGTGCCGCTCCGAGAGGGAGTGGTCGGCCTTGCGGACTTGGATGAAGGGCGAGAATCCAGTGCCGCTTCCGCCGGACATGTTCCGGGCACGGATGCAGCAGATAGAAGCTTGGCGCGGGTCGTGCCGCGAGGAGTTGGGAGAAAATTCTCGCCGAGAAGACTCTGTCTGACGCAGATGTAGTTGCCCTGAGCGAAACAACGTCACTAGCATGGGAGTCCAACCGCAAGCTCAAACCTAGCATAAAGTTTCCCCACAGCTTGCAAAGTTTGACATTCGGCTACCACTTCAACCAGAGTTTGCAGGGCGTTCAACTACCCAGCAGCCTGCAGAGTTTAACGTTTGGAAAAAACTTCAACCAGAGCTTGGAGGGCATCCAACTACCCAGCAGCCTGCAGAGTTTAACGTTTGGAGACAACTTCAACCAGAGCTTGGAGGGCATCCAACTACCCAGCAGCCTGCAGAGTTTGATGTTTGGCGACAAGTTCAACCAGAGCTTGGGAGGCGTCCAACTGCCCAGCAGCCTGCAGAGTTTGACGCTTGGCGACAAGTTCAACCAGAGCTTGGGAGGCGTCCAACTACCCAGCAGCCTGCGGAGTTTGACGTTTGGTGACGAATTCAACCAAAGCCTGGAGGGCATCCAACTACCCAGCAGCCTGCAGAGTTTGACGTTCGGCAGAGACTTCAACAAGAGCCTGGAGGGCATCCAACTACCCGGCAGGCTGCAAAGTTTGACGTTCGGCAGTGAATTCAACCAAAGCCTGGAGGGCATCCAACTACCCAGCCTGCAGAGTTTGACATTAAACTACTTCAGCCAGCGTTTGCAGCGTGTTCAACTACCCAGCAGCCTGCAGAGTTTGAAGCTGGGCAGCCTGGAGGGCGTCCAACTACCCAGCAGCCTGCAGAGTTTGACATTCTTCGGCAACTTCTTCAGCGAGAGTTTGCGTATCGTCCAACTACCCAGCAGCCTGCAGAGTCTGACGTTTGGCTTCAGCATGGAGAGCTTTCAACGGCCAGCGTTCGGACGCTACTTAAACCAGAGTTTGCAGTACATCCAGCTACCTAGCGGCCTGCAGAGTTTGAATTTGGGCGGCAGCCGGCAATTCATGCAATTCATCCAACCGCCCAGAGGGCTGCAGAGTTTGACGTTTGGGGACATCTTCAACCATAGCTTGGAGGGCATCCAACTACCCAGCAGCCTGCAGAGTTTGACGTTTGGTGACGAATTCAACCAGAGCTTGGAGGGCATCCAACTACCCAGCAGCCTGCGGAGCTTGACGTTTGGTGTTGACTTCAACCAGAGCTTGGAGGGTATCCAACTACCCAGCAGCCTGCAGAGTTTGACATTCGGCTGGAAATTCAACCAAAGCCTGGAGGGCATCCAACTACCCAGCCTGCAGAGTTTGACATTCGGCTACCACTTCAACCAGACTTTGCAGGGCGTTCAACTACCCAGCAGCCTGCAGAGTTTGAGATTCGGCTTCTACTTCAACCAGAGTTTGCAGGGCGTTCAACTACCCAGCAGCCTGCAGAGTTTGACGTTTGGCTACTGGTTCAACCGGAGCTTGGAGGGCATCCAACTACCCAGCAGCCTGCAGAGTTTGACGTTCGGTGACAAATTCAACCAGAGCTTGGAGGGCATCCGACTACCCAGCAGCCTGCAGAGTTTGACGTTCGGCGACAAGTTCAACCAGAGCTTGGGAGGCGTCCAACTGCCCAGCAGCCTGCAGAGTTTGACGCTTGGCGACAAGTTCAACCAGAGCTTGGGAGGCGTCCAACTACCCAGCAGCCTGCGGAGTTTGACGTTTGGTGACGAATTCAACCAAAGCCTGGAGGGCATCCAATTACCCAGCTCACTGGAGAGTGTTGTTTCCAATTTTCTTTGTGTAGGCTGCTTGGTGGAACCGTCTGGTTCGGCCTGAGATGTTCGGGACATAGTTCGCATCAGTATTGCTGACAATTCTGTGTGTAGAGTTTCCTCGCGCTTTTGCCGCGTGTGCTGTCTACAAGACGCTTGGGCCTTGCGGAAACGACCGTCGGGTTTAGCGCCTTTAAACATAGTGCGAGTTTGAGAAGACATATATAGTGTTCCGGGGCACCATCCCTAGAGAAGAGCGAAGTTCCTTGGGTTTGGGTATAGGTGTCAGATCACTCAGACGTATCGTAGGGAAACCAGCGTCACCGCTGAGGCCATCGGCGACTGGAGCGAAGATACTCGCGAGGGTCAGGAGGTTGGCTGCTCCCGGCAGCGCAGCAATGTTTATGGCAAAGATGACGGTTTTGTCAGCATGGTATTTACCATTCTATCTGTGACTCGCTATGTCATTGCACGCTATTACTAGGTCTGCTGTTATCCTCTTAATCCTTCATTAGTGCTCCATTTCTATGATGATGACTCATGGTGATGATGAGGAAGCTGGTCTCTGTTGTGAAAGCAGGCGCGAATGGAACCCACAACCCCAACATTGCCCCTGCAGTCACAGGCATGCTATACCACAGAACTGGGACGAACATCCATAAATGTGCTGCGTGTGGTATGTGTATGTATTTCTACTTGCGTGCTTGCCTTTTTGTTTGTTGGTTTATGCTATATACCTGTACCAGCCGCCGGGTCCTAAAGAACCATGGAAACCGAAACAAACAACTTTCGACTGCCGCAACAAGGCCACCTAGAGAGTTGCAATTGTTATATGCCTAGCAATGCGTACGCGTACCAGATAAAGTTAGGTGGTTTAGCATTTGCCGTATATCCATTGGTATCACGACTCCTGTTTCCATGCCCACCACCGACTACTGCAGTGATGTCTTGTCCGCCAGTGTTCTCGACCGGAGACTCCGAGCCCCGAGCCCTATACCAGCCTTTAAAGGCCATGGCGGAGGAGGACTTTAGAATGTTCTTGTTCGAGCTTTGCACGCTTTGGTGCGGCTGGAGCCTCGGGATCTACGGAATACAAGTGGCTTTTGGACAAACGGTGGGTTAAGGGTTTAAGGATCAGGGGGGGGGGGTAGTGATCTGCGCTTGGAGTTAGTGGCTCGGGTTTATAGATGTCCACCATTTAGCCCTCGGGGCTTGGTTTGGAATCTCGCATGAGCACGAGCGACGGGAAGCTCGCGGATAAGGTGATGAAGGTGTTGATGATGATCATGACGATGATGATGAACATCAGGAGAACTACGGATGGAACGATGGTCATGCTGTTGCCGTTGATGACGGTGATGACGATGATTATGGTGATTTTGATGACCATAGTGATGCCTGGCGACAGCGACGATGAAGATGATCCCGGTGCTGCTACCTATCATTATGAGTATGATGGCGAGGTTATAGTACATGCACGCGAAGGAGCATGCAGATCTTGATGAGGCTGATGCCGATGGTGCTGAAGATGGTAATGTGATGGTCATTGTGGTTACGTTGGCGCTGACTAGGGGCCGGAGTCGCATTCTAGGCGACTGCTGTTTGACAACACTGCTCCTGGCTTGTTCTTTGCGATTTGGGTGTGAATATCAAGGTCTGAGTTATTTGTAGGTCTACTACAGTAAGGGCTGCATAGTCGTCGTTATCATCTAACCCGAACAAAAAGCCATCTAATTAATTGCCGTATGCACCGTCTGTATAGTAATCCAATACCGAAGCGCTAATTGAACCAAGGCTGCTGTTTCCTACACAGATTCCCACGGACGGTTGTTTGGGGATCCTTCACAAGGCACAGTCACGCAAGCACTAAGGCGCTGGAAGGAACCTGAGCAAGATGGCACCCAAAAGGAGCCTCCACTATGCACTGCTTGCATGCGCCAGGTCCCAACGTATCGCTGTCCGTGTACCTTCTCTTCCTTAGCTCCGTTGGCCCGTCATGTTTGTGAACGATGCAAGCTGCCCTGATCTGGATCCCTGAAGTAACATAAATCACTAGCAGTGATGAAGCAGGGCGACTTAATTAATGATGGCAACCTTCCAATCGTCCTTCCCTGCTGTGAGTAGAATAGTTGCAACTTCTAAGTCGAACACTCCATGCAGGGGCAGAAAGACAGTCATAGATACGTTCGGCAAGAGGTCGTTCCTGCTACGGTGATGGCCATGATGGTGATGGTGATGATGATGCTGATGATGCTGATTTTTGCTGTGGTGATCAGAGTTGTCATTCGCAATATATTATGCCTTCAAATTCCTGTTGCTTGCTATTAATACTGTCGCGCTCGAGTGTTCGAGTATGGTTTGGTGCAGCAAGAATGCTCATACATAGGATACTTGACATGCGATGGCTTGTGCTTGAACAAGTTCTTCTTGGTTCAAGGTCAACTAAAGTGTCCGAGCTTCGCACTCCATCTCAATCTCGTTCATAGCAGGGATCAGGATTTAGTGTAATGGGGTTAGGACGACTCCCCAACCGTTAGTTAGGAGTTGGACCGGGAACTTAAAGAACCCGAAGCTTGTTTAGGATTTAGGTTTTAGGTTTGGGGTGTAGTGCAGCCTGCCACCATGAGGGTGCAGGGCCGCAGCCGCATTTTATGTTTTTGTTTCGCGGATCACGACCACCCGGCTCTACAGCCATGGAGATGTGCGGCACTTGATCTTCGCATCTAATCTTCGCCACAGATGGCATCAAGGATATGTTCAATAGAGCAGCAATCAAACGAGCAAGTTCTGAGTGCCTTCGAGACCCAGCTTTACATTCCTCGGGCGTTGGTGTCTTTTCGTTGCCAGGTCTTTGTCGCTGTTACGGATGCCCGTGGTGCTTACACCCTGGGCCTCCGGAAGTTGGAGGAGTTAAGGGTCAGCGGCAGGTATAGCTGTAGGCTATGGGTGATTCAGTGGTACAATTGCACATTTTTAATGTTTTTGTCTGTTGCTTCTTGGGGTCCTGTTATGTTGGTTGTTTTACGGTTATGTGTTCCTTTCTCGCTTCTTGGGCTCCTTTTGCATTCTTCCTTTGGTAGTTCTTGGGTTCCTTTTCATGACAGTTGACTGACCCTCACAAGAAGAGTTTTACTCCGGGGTCCCTGAAGAGTCGAAGTACTGTCGGCTGAGCTTCCACCTCAGGGCCTCTACATCAGGCAGGGGGATCACAATTTCTCGTTCAGGGTTCAAAGCTGTTAGGATTTGGGGCTGAAGGACTTAAGTCTCGGAAGTTTGGGATAGATGCTTCGGCTTAAGACCTCTTGCCACCTTTA